TAAACCACCTAACCCATTAGTTAGCCAGCAGCAGGAGCTGAACTCTAAATCTTCTGGCATCTCCATCAATGTGTAAATGACAGAAGCTGCTTGTGTTCTCTAGTAGCAGAAAGCTGTTTCTACAGACGGTGAAAATAACAAATGGGTGGTCAGAGGTTGGCATTGGCTTCATTTCCACTTTGGGGAGCTTGAGAAACCAACATGCTCTTAAGCAAAATGAGGAATGAAAGAGCTACCAAGTTCACTCATAAGACCTGGTTATTTATGAAAAGCTCGTGTATTCTCATGATTTGGCTTCGAATACTGCAAGTCTCCGGCCAGATCTAATGTAACACTCTACACATGCCAACTTCATCACAGTTCTTCTGGCATGTTAAATCACAGAGGCCTATCCCCAGATTCAGGCTTGGTTTCAACATCTAACACTCACAGACTGTATAGACTCGGTAAGGTAAGGTAAGGTAAGGGACCCCTGGACAGCTAAGTCCAGTCAAAGGCAACTATGGTGTGCGGCACTCACCATAGGGTAATGTGTTATATGTTGGACTACTTTTGAAGACAGTTCAGAAAACACAACTAATACAGAATTTAGCAGCCAGGTTATTGGCTGGCACCAGACGGTCCCATACAAACCAGCCTGGACCCTGCAGTCTTCATCAGAGGCCCTTCTCTATGTGTCCCATCCAAAGGAGGTGTAGAGATGCAAACAGTCTCTCTCTCTCTCTCTCTCTCTCACACACACACACACACACACACGGGGAATTCTCCGCTAGCAATGCTGAAAACACTGCCCACCTGACAGATTAACCCCAGGGGAACTCATCCCTCAACAGAAAAAACTTTCGTCATCCCTATCTTAGACGCTGTTTGGACAAGCACTCTCACCCACCCTCCAGGGTACAGGTGGCCCAATTTACTCCTCTCACAGACACCACAAGAATGCTTGTAATTTTTGCTGCAGCACAAGCAAAAGGAGCTTCCAGACAGGGCTTAATTTGCCAATGGGTCGTAGGCAGGTTTTTGGGTTTTTTTAACTGATCATATCCCTCTCCACTCACAAAAACACTGTATATATGCAGACTGACTTTTGATGTCAATGGCATTGCATGGATGCTATAAAAAATAAAAACTTGGGTCTGCATGAGGAACACAGATCCCAAAATAAGCACCCATCTGGAAGCACCCAGCACTGCAACCTTGCTGGAAATTGTTTTCAGAGTAATTGCTGGATAGAGTTGGATAGAACCTTCCAATCCCTCCCCCACCAACAACTCCCCCCCCAAAAAAAAACCAGGTGCCCCATTTTAGGAAACCATGCATGAAGGCACCTGGCCAGTCTAACAAAACACTCAGCTGTGCTTTGCTCACCTTGTCTATAAATATTCCTGTATTTTTATTTTTATGCAGGTGTTGGCTGCTTGGAAGAAAAAGCAGTGCCTTCAAACCTTGGTGTTTTGCCTTGTTCACACTACTGTATTGTTTTCAAAGGACCCCGTTTTGCTGTCGCCCACTGAGTAGAACCAGAAATCAGCATTATAGGTTTTAAGGGTACCATATATACAGCCCCTTTGCTATTCACAGCAGAGAGGGAAAATAGATTTCTGGCTCTTAAACCTTGCATGCCTTTTGTGAGCCACTAATAATCTTGCTGTTTTCCTGACATGAAGCTCACTTGGCACCATTTTCAAGGTTTACAAAAGGATTGTCTATTAACGGTCTTGTGAAAACAGTAGGGGGAACTATGCATCTAAGGAGGGGGGGGAACAGTCCTGGTTGGAAGATGCAATTTCATTAGAAGGCACTTATTTGTAAAGCTTTATGAAGGTGGGAGCCCCAAAATAGAATTACATTATTACACTTCCCCAATGCAATGAGAGATGGACATTTTTGCTTCTCCCCACCTCCCACACATCATTTAAATCTAAACTACTGCAGTCCTCATTGATTTTCTTCTTTTTGCTATAGTTAACAGATCCAATGCATGTGAATTGCAGTCCAAATGACCAATACGGCAAAATCATCAAAGACCGTGATAAGAATATATGTTATATATTATTACAGCATGCACACACACATATATACATGCTGCTTGTGAGATCTGGTAGATCTTCAGACACAAGAAATGGGGGTGCTTTGTAGCAGTAGTCCTGAGCTGCTGGAATTCCATCCCTAGAGAGACACTGGCATTTAAACAGACCCTCAAAGATTTTTATTATTATTCAAACTGTTGGGTTTTTTTAAAAAAAAATGATGATGATGTGCTATTCTGTATTGTTTTCAACTGCAGCTGTTTTAATGTCATTTGGTTTTATTTTTATGTTGTGGTTTTATTGATATACCATGTTGTGGTTCTTCAAGCCAACTTGAAGAAAATTTTGCCCTGAAAGCTGGCATATATTTATCTATTTCTGACATTCGTTGGCATCCATCTATCTCAAGAAACAATGGAGGTTTTTGGGGGTGAAATTAAATAAATAGCTGTGCACAGAGAAGTTAGGTTGGCATTTATAAACTGTACTATAATGGAACGGCAGTGCAATGTTTCTGTAGACTGCCTCAGCATGTTATAAAAATTACAGACCCTAAGGCAGGGCTTTGTTACCCTGTTCGATAATCCAGTCGTAGCCTCAATTTCTGTCATGGGGTGTGGGGACAGGGAATCAAGTGAAGGACCAAGTACAGATATACTTCAATGTTTCACATCCTTTCTACAGACTGCAAGGTAAGAACTTCTGTTGGGGAATTTCTGTGCTGTCCCTGAAACTTACCTTTAACCAGGGCTTTCCTGAGGCCCAGTGGAGTAGGAGGAAGCTTTTTAAGTTCCTACACTTTCTCCAGCACCTATTGGGGTGAGCTCCCGTTGCTCGGTCCCTGCTCCTGCCAACCTAGCAGTTCGAAAGCACGTCAAAGTGCAAGTAGATAAATAGGTACCGCTCCAGTGGGAAGGTAAACGGCATTTCCGTGTGCTGCTCTGGTTCGCCAGAAGCGGCTTAGTCATCTGTACGCCGGCTCCCTCGGCCAATAAAGCGAGATGAGCGCCGCAACCCCAGAGTCGGCCACGACTGGACCTGATGGTCAGGGGTCCCTTTACCTTTTAAATAAATGGATTTTCCAATTCAAAGTTACAGGTTATGAGGAGCAAAGGCAGGGGGTATTTACCCCCCCCCCAAAAAAAAAACACTCCCTTGCTCTAATCTGACAGTCCTAGCAAGAAAATGTTTATCTACATTATTTAAGGTGGTGTCTCTAGAAGATGGCATTACCTGAATGAGAAACTGGGCCTTCTAAGCACATTTAGACTCTAGACCCATTAGCAGGGCAAAAACCACAGCACAGGGAACGCTTTGCACAGCTCAAGCCAATCTGCAGAGGCCGAACTGCAGGGAAATAGGGAAACTGTTTGTCATGCAGAGTACAGTCCAGGGCAAGTTTCTGAAGTGGGCCTGAGGCAACATGAGGCCCAGACAGGGCAAGACTGAAATTGAGAGTCAAATATTCGTGCCAGATGAGGAGGTGTCAGGACCCAGACTTGCTGCAAGTGGGGGGCAGGGAAATCAAGCTAGATTTAGTCACCAGAGTGTCAAGCTAAGGGAGCAAAGAACAGGATATGGCTCCCCCAAGAAGAGGCTAAGCCCATGAAAAGGAGCAGGACAGATGGAACAAATAAGTTAGGAGGGAAAGGGTGTCAATTTCACACTCAATCCAGGAAGCATCCTGTGGTGGAGTAATAGCTTTGCCTTGCAGCCTGCATTCCTGCATCCATGACTAGTCAAAGGAATACAACCAGTCTCAACACAAGAGGAGGAAGTCTAGTAACTGCTTACTAGTGCAATGGATTATCAGTAACCCATTCCTGCTGTCTCTGTGGCAATGGGGATGTTAGGGCTGTTGTTCAGGCCGTGGCCTTAGGCCCTTCTAGTGGGCCCGATTCCCTGCCCCTTCCTCTCCTCTGTAAAACTTGATAGCTTTTTTTTTTTTTTTAACTTTGCTTACAGGTATAGCAGATGCACTATAAAGCACAGCTCCTGTAAGACCCTGACACATTTCATCTTTATTTGCCCAGGCACAGTTGTTTTAAGCTTTTAATATACACAAGGTCCACATAAGTGCACTCAGCTCAAACAAAAAATAAATCCTGTTGATACCCCATTGTTCAGAATAAGCTCTATCAGCCACAGAACCCTCCCCACAACTTGAAAATTCAGCCTTAAATTTGCATCTATAAATTAGCCTATGCCAAATTTATGCAAAGTTTTACCATGGCCCTGTACCCCCATGTCTTAGAAGTACACCCCTAGCAAAACCCTGCTATATGGCATCCTGCTTTCAGTTTGGAGGTGGGCATGGCTTCAGGCTCCAATACAATCAGACGTTGTACATATCAGGCTGGAGAGCTGGAACAGTGTAGTGGCTAAGACACTAGGCTGTCCATCAGGCAAATTCTGATTTGAGTATTAGCTCTGCTGTGAAATCCCTAGGCTGATGCAGAAAAGCCACACTCAGTGCTTTTTTAAAGAGAACAAAACAGTGCTTTTTTTTTTCATTTAGAAAAAAGGTGCTGGTACTACTATGAAGTTGTTACAGTAAGTGCTATACTACTTTTAACATTGTGGGGGTGGAAGGTGCTGCTACTATGTACCCCTGAGTACCCCCAGAAGAAAGCACAGTTCAAAAATATGTATTATAATGCAAAGCCTGCTGTATGAATGGGCGATTTTCAAAATGTTAGTTGAAGTTGTACGTTGTTGGCAGAGTTTCTGACTAACGCAATGAGTTTGTTTTTAGCTTTTTAATGGTTTTTGTTATATGGCGTTGTGTTTTCGTTGCTGTAAACTGCTTTGATATATTTTTAGTGACACAAAAGTATAGAAATGTTTTTACAAATTGTTATAAGAAAAACCTGCTCCTTTTCCCTTATGGGGTACCCAAGAGCCCGTATAGAGTCCTTATGTAGGTTCTCTATTGGTAGGAGAAAATAACAGAGGCCAACCAGAGAATATTGAGAAGCAAAGCAGCTAGTAAGCCTGATCTTTATTAAACTGTTGCAACAGGGTGCTCACACACCCCCACGCAGGAGGAGGAACCCAGAACAATGGTGTGCAAGCCCTTATACAGACTATTGAAATTGCCACCCTGTAGCTCAAGACCCCCCCATACATCATGTTTTTTCTTATAACAAAATAAAGTAAATAATAATAAATATTGGGATCCAGGACTGCCTGTGTAAGTGCTTGGCTGTTCAATCTGTGTATTTGTAAACAGATATTACAACAAATAAACTGCCTGGGATTCTCATACTTACACACACACACTACAGGCCAAACTAGAGAAACCTTTCTCCTCGCCACATCACATTTCTGAAATATTTTCGTAAGGACAGCGGCAGTGGGGGGAATTAAACTTCCCCTCCCCCGACCCTGGAAGAGTGGCGAATGAAGCTTATGGACTATGCAGAGTTGGACAAACTAACTGGGAAGATTAGATACCAACGGGATCACAAGTTCATTGTGGACTGGGGAAAATTCACAGAATATCTGAAAAGTATATGTGATGAACAAACAACACTAGTGGGATTTAAAGAAGTTTTGTGAAAGTCAGAGAAATATTGTTTAAAAGAAACAGGATAGTAAGGGTATGCTAAAAGGCAATATTATATATTGGAAATGCGTAAAGTATGTAAAAATATGGATGATTTGCAGAGAAGCTGATGGAAGTCTAAAAAGTTGAAATTTGTGAAAAATTTGTAATATGCTAAATTTGTATAATAGAAATTTGAATAAAAATTATTATAAAAAAATAAACTTCTCCTCCCCATCCCCTGTGCAGGTTTCTCCTCCGTTTACATATCATAAAATGTGCATTGACACAAATAGTGCCACATCTAGTTCTCTCTTCCTCTTTCTGAATCTCTCTGCCAAACAAAACTAGCCCTGCCCATTTGCCCTCGACAAAAGAGCAACTCAGGGGAGCGCATACAGTATGCGTATTTAAGATGCCAAAACTAGCTTTCCAGATTGCTGCCACATACACAATAGCTAAAGTGCATTACCCACAGTCCTCTGGGCTGCTGAAAGCTGCCCTGAAGGCCAATTTGGCCACTGGCGATATTGGAAGGGGCAGAGCGGAAGGAAGCCAAAAAGCAAAGCGGATTACGCTCCTTTTTTTGCAACCAGCGACTGGGCTGTGAGGTGGGCCGCCCCCTGGTCCACGATCAACAGCCCTGGCTGACCCGAGGTCCCGCTTGCTCGTCGGAAAAGCCGGCGGCTAGGCCTGAATTTCCATCCGAAGCGGCAGGGGAAGCTATTTTCATCTTCAGCTGCTACAGATTTGTTCCTGCGATGTTGGGCGCGCTGAGCGGCTGACACAGACCTGGGAATCAATCAAAAGTAATTGAAACAGAAGAGGCTTCGCAATCAACCAATTAGGTTGCTGGAGCCAGAAGAAACGGAGGGAGGGTGGACGGGGACTAACACACGCACACAAACCGTATAATGTATATATAAATATATAGAACTTTCTTCCTGCCAACTTGATGCAGGAAGGACGCTTTTGTTATTCCTTCCGAGGCGGTAGGAGGGCTGATTAGCTTTCCTTCTGTGACGAGGAACAAAGGGAAAAGGCGGCCCATTAGCGCGCACCGTCGCCAATCAACATAATCTGATTTGCTCGTCTCTCGCCTGCGAGCGAGTCTCGGCGTCTGCTCAGAGAAGCCTCTGGAGGTGCAGCCTTTTGTTTTCTCCTCCCTCTCCACCTCGCTGCTCCTCGGTAGCGGAACCCGGCAATTTGGAGCAACCCCATACAGTCCGCTCTGCCGCCGCCACAGTTTGGCTGCTTCCTTGCCCCGGTGCCAATCCGCTAGGACGCGAGCCAAACCCGGGAGCCCAGGCGCAGCAGGGAAGCCGCGAGGCCGAGGTAGGCGACGGCAGGCTTTCTCGGCTTGCTCGATCTCGGCCACGCTTGCGCCCTGCCTCCCTGGTCTCTGCCTCTCACTCTCTGCAGCTACGCAACCTCGTGGCTGCAACTTCGAGGGGATTTACGCAGGAGACCTTACATATTTCACCACCTCAATCATTAGAGGGATCAAAGTTGGTCTGTTGCCATGGGAGGGAAGGGAAACTCCACGTCGAAACTCTACGCATCTCTGAGAAGGAGCACACAAGCCGCGCAAAGTGGTTTGGGGCGCGGGGGGGGGGGGAGAAGCCCTTTCCATTTTTAACTGGTGAAAGGGTTTGGTGCGCTTCGATAGGCAGCCGCTTATCCGACTGTATTTGGAGGGGCGTCAAAAGCTCCTCCCCACCCGCCCCCTCGAGGACGTGGGCCACGTGAGCTGCTCCTTATAGGGTGTCAGATGCGGAGGAGATCCCAACACCACCATCCAGGCTGATCGAGGCAGAAATTCCCGACGACCTGTTCTCGGTGGCTCAAAACTAAAAACAACATATTGCCATTTCCGTCCCTTAAATGGCACCCCAGTTTGCCACCTCGAGCTTTGCCCCCACAAATCCAAGAGACTGATCTCTCTCTTTGGTAGTCTGTATACCAGCCACGGAGGAGTGGGAGAGTGCTTTGCAGGGGGTGGGCTAAATGATCCTTGGGGTCCTTCCCAACCCTACAATTCTAGGAATGTCTGTGCTTGGGCCAGATCTTGAGCTTTTTTTGCACTGGAGCAGAAAAGTCAAAACGATGCCACTCCAGTGTTGTTATGCAATAGTGTAATGGTAAATGAAGGGGACGCGGGTGGCGCTGTGGGTTAAACCACAGAGCCTAGGGCTTGCGGATCAGAAGGTCAGCGGTTTGAATCCCCATGACGGTTCAAAAGCAAGTAGTGCAAGTAGATAAATAGGTACCACTCTGGCAGGAAGGTAAATGACATTTCCGTGCACTGCTCTGGTTCGCCAGAAGCGGCTTAGTCATGCTGGCCACATGACCCGGAAGCTGTACGCCAGCTCCCTCGGCCAGTAAAGCGAGATGAGCACCGCAACCCCAGAGTCGTCCGCGACTGGACCTAACGGTCAGGGATCCCTTGGTAAATGAAGTTCCAAGAACTCATCATGATCGCCCCCACAGGAAAGTAAAAAATGCAGGCAGCTGTGCTGATCTGCTGTACGCACTCATGTATAGTGTAGGTACTTGCTGGACTAGGAGTTGGGAGGCCACGGTTCAAGGCCCCACTCCAACATGAAGCTCGCTGCATGACCTTGGACCAGCCATTGTTGCTCTCAGCTGAACAGGGTTGTTGTGAGGATAAAATGGGAAGGGAAACCATGTAAATAAAAACACACCCCAAGCACTATATAGCATAATACTCCATTTATTAGGGTTCATGTGCCTGCAAACCTGTGCACAGTTTCTTGAAGAAGCAGCTCTGCTTTATAAAGCAGTGACCTGCTTTATAAGGGACAAGGCAGTCTCAGGTTATGTATTGTGTGTCACTTGTTCCTGTTCTGAAAAGAGCTCAGTAGCTGCACCTCCACTGCCCTGACTAGATTATTGGGAGTAGAATTTTAGTGTTGTTAAAAATGACCCTGGAGGACATCTAGCCTGACCCCCTGTTGAATGCAGGAATGTTGCAACTGGAGCATCCTGGCAGATGGCCACTCAGCACTGAATACCGCCAGTGGAGGAGAGGCCCCTCTGCTACACTGCTCCTTTGGAAGCCACTGCTTAAAACACTACTTTTCTGAGCCCGGCCTTGGCTGGGGAGGGCGGGGCATAAATAAAAATTATTATTATTATTATTATTATTACTTGACAGGTAAGGGCTTGCTTGAGGGTTTTTTTGTGGGGGCCTGGGCAACAGGTCGGTTTCATTGCCAGTGAGAGTGTGCCAGTCACTTGCTTCTGTACCTTTTGATCCGCCTTATCCACTGATCTTCCAAGCACCGCAAGAATTGTGAAGCATATGGATTAGAACAGTGCATGGTCCAGAGATTGGTACCTGGGCCTTTCGAAAATCCACAGGCCAGAAACATGCACACAGAGCTTCACACAATTTGGCTTCCTTTTTCCTGCCATTGCTTCTAAGATGAAAGTGAAGAGAATGGGGCGATACTGTGCAGACACACCAGTGGATTCATTCTACTACTGAACAGCTCTCATCAGACACGCTGAGTCAATCTGATACGATATTTCTGAGTGAGTGACTAGCCTATAATCTTCAGTGTAGGAGAGAATAAAAAATTGTAATTAAACTTTATCAATTTTAGCTGTGGTGCTTAGTAAGTTCCGTTGAAAGCGATGAGATGTACTTCCAAGGTAATGTGTTTAGGGGTTGGACTGTGTGTCTGTTTTTAATTGCTTTGGGAGCATTTGAATTTGTCTTCCCTTCCAAAAATAGTCATCTGAAGACACGTTTATAAGAGTTTCCAGCATATGTCAAGTAAGCATGATGAGATTTTATTAGGGTATTTTCAGCAATTTCTCCCGACTCAGAAATTGATTCTCTCAAGAAATTCCCAAACCCAGTGATGTGCATTTTATGGACATCTAGGCTAACTCCAAGAAAAGGGTGGAAAATGTGCTGTTGTGTTCACTTTCATAATATTATCCCAGACTATATCCAGGAACAACTTTTTGTTGGCTGCCAACACTAATACTGCACCTGATCTTTTCCAGGAACAACTCTCTGAGAGACCTGGCTTGAGCTAAGAGTTCCTCCTCCCCATTGGTGCGGAAATATATTTAAGTTTGTGCTTAGGACCTGCTTTTTAAACCATGGCACACATTGGCTGCAGCCCTAAGAGTTATCGTTTAAAGCTGTTTAAACTCGAGATTCCTCAATGAGCTTCTTATTCTGTCCTAAAACCATGGAGATGATTGACATAGTTTACTATGAAGACTACTTTGTTATATATGTAATGTATTCTGACTATTAGTGTCTGTTTGGGCAGAATGGGGGGATGACTTTTGTGGCCTTAGCAAAAATTAAACGTGTTGGCTGCTCTTTCTCAGTCCTTCCATACAACATTCTTAGCTGTAGTTTTATTTGCCATAGCTCTGCATAGGCTTTCTGCTGCTGCAGCAGCAAACAACCTGCCTTGATATGTCAAGTCATAGGAGAGGCATTCTTGAAGGACTTACAGAAACCTTCCAGTGAAACATCCATCCTCTGGAGAAGGCGACAGATGAGGAGGCGCTTGAAAAGATGGATTGGCATTGCATTTTTCACACCACCACCACTACCACACTTAGCAGAGATTTAAAAGCAGAGTAAAACATGTTTCTACAAGATGGTAAATGTCTGTATCTCCCCACCAGACAGAATATGAGTGGTCAAAATGTACAGGGTTCTTTCATCAGAAGTGCAGAAACAAAAAAATCCCAAGCTTTTTTAAGATTAAAATTTCTTCTCGCTCTCCTCACAACAAAGATAACTTTCTATTGTGGTGCCAAAAACTTCTGCCAAAGTTCTAGATGATCCTGGGGGTGCCTTCACAACACTTAAGATTCTACAGTACAATTTGCCTATTTCACACACAGCCCTCAAGAACTTTCTATACAATACAGATAAAGAGACAGGAGGGAAATCTTTGAGAAACATCTAACTTACATACGTATGTTTAATCCCTCTATTTTAAGTACAATGCAACACTCTTCTTTCTTCTGGCATTGCTAAAGTTCTTGTTAACTCCCTCATAATCCCTCACCGTCTCTATTGTAACATCCTATTATTTCTTGGTCTTCCTGCTTCTTTCCTTAAATGTCTTCTGCTTTGAACTCATCTGCATGCTGGATCTATCATGCTCATCACTTTGATCACCTTTCTTCTCTCTTTTTGTTCTCATCTGCTTTCTCTTTCTTCTGGCACCCTCCTTTTGTTCGGCTTCAAATGTCCCTATTGAATCTAGAATCACATCTTCTGTCTCTTGATTGTATGAGCCTTTCCTGTTCCTGGCATCCAGCAATAGAGGCAAGAAACGCACACATACTCCCTTTCCAAGCTAGGTAAGGGCAAAGAGACTTAAGGAACAACCCAACCCACCCAACTCCTGCCCAGAACAAGCGGGGGGTGGGGTGGGCTGCTGCACCAGATCCCACTCTTCCCCAGTGCCTCTAGGGGTGGTGCAAAAAATCAGGCCGGCTAATAATTTTGGTGATCAGTAGGCAACAGAGTCAAGGGACGCGGGTGGCGCTGTGGGTTAAACCACAGAGCCTAGGACTTGCCAATCAGAAGGTTGGGGGTTCGAATCCCTGCGACGAGGTGAGCTCCCGTTGCTCGGTCCCTGCTCCTGCCAACCTAGCAGTTCGAAAGCACATCAAAGTGCAAGTAGATAAATAGGTACCGCTCCGGCGGGAAGGTAAACGGCGTTTCCGTGTGCTGCTCTGGTCCACCAGAAGCAGCTTAGTCATGCTGGCCACATGACCCGGAAGCTGTACGCCGGCTCTCTTCGCCAATAAAGCAAGATGAGCGCCACAACCCCAGAGTCGGCCACGACTGGACCTAATGGTCAGGGGTCCCTTTACCTTTAGGCAACAGAGTCATCCCTAAAAAAGAGCCCTCCTTGGGGCAACATTTGGTAAGCAGACCACAAAAAGTCCTGTACTGACATAATGATGGACAGAGCCATGATTCTTCTTTCCAGGGGTTGCTGCTTTGGGGCATTTAAAAAAGTTTTTTAGTAGTAGATTTAAGAAAATGCAGCTCAGGAAGCTGAAATCAAGAACAGAGGGGTGGTGTAGTTTAATATAGTCCCTTGCTACCATTTGTTCACTCTACACCAGCCCCTCCGCTGCTTTCCCACATATATGGGGAAGATAGGGGGACCACATCCTTCCTCCATAAGGAACAAAGCAGCTGAGAGGTGAGTTTGAGCATAAAGAAAAAGCAGGTGCAGGAGGTTACTTGTTAATACAGGTGTCATCCCCAACATGTCACCCATGGGCATGCATGTGCCCTCAGGCTCTCCCTGGCACCTCTGGGATCCCCTCCCTGAAACTGGAAGAGACTTGGAAGACGTACAGTGGACGCTTGGGTTGCGAACATGATCCGGTGCTTCTGCGCATGCACAAAACGTGATTTAGTGCTTCGCATGCGCAAGCACCAAAACCCAGAAGTAACCCATTCCGGTACTTCCGGGTTCAGCGTGGTGCGCAACCCAAAAACACACAACCTGAAGCGTCTGTAACCCAAGGTATGACTGTATTCTACTGTATCCTGTAGAAAAAGATGGAGTGGGCATGGCAGTTTTTCCAGTTTGCAAATGGGGCAAAAAAAGTTGGCGACCTCTGTGTTAACAGATAGCAAAAAGCAATCCAA